ATATATATATATATACCTTAGTATTTACATACATGTACCATCTAAGGTAATAAGACAGCTACACACTAGCCAGTTTGAATTATGATTGCCTCGGTTCTTATTTTCTTTATTTTTCCTTGTTTTGTTTTGTTTTAATTTAATGTGTGTGTGTGTGTGTGTGTGTGTGTGTGTGTGTGTGTGTGTGTGTGTGTGTACATGCATGCGCACATGCTTGTGCATGTCTCAGAGGAGAACTTGAAGGAGTCAGCTCTCACCCTCTGTCACATGTGTACTGGGATCAAAATTCAGGAGATCAGTCTTAATGGCAAGCACCTATATCCACTGAGCTGTCTCACCAGCCCCTTAGTTCTTATTTCCAAAAACAAGAATCAGCCAGAGGTGTAGCTCTCACCTCTAATTCCTTACTGAGGAGGCTCGAGGCAGCAGGAACACAAGTTCAAGGCCGGCCTGGATTACAGAATGAGCCTTTCTCAAAACACCAAAAAAAAAAAAAAAAATCATTTGCAGTAATTATTTTCCAGCAAATGAATTATGCTGATGTTTCTTTAAAATGACGAGCCATGTGGACAGCCCTCAGCAGCACGGAGATGGGAAAGTAAGTGTCTGCAGAGGTGTTCAGGTGGAGGACAGCAATGAACTGGTCTCCCTGGAAGTCCCTCAATCCTGGCCCCAGGTCCTGCACAAAGAAAGCCTAGTCAAAGACAGCAGGATGCACATACCTTCCAGAAAGAAAGCATGAATAGACTTGGTGGGAAGTTTTACCCAAGCGTGAGATAGGTGTTTTTCTTCCTTCCCTACTCTCTGGATAGGCACACAAATCACAGGAGAACCGGGGGCTGGACAGCAGCCAGGAGAGGCCTACTCTTCACTGCGCATCTTTTTACACTTTTTGGACTTTCACCCTTATACTATAATGCCTAACTTTTAAAAAGACATTTTAAAATAACAGAGTCAAGAATACATAACACTGCTCTTGTAGTCTCCTGCTGTGGTATGAGAAGAATAAGCCACATAGAGGAGAACCATGCTAGATAGAATTCCCAGAAGTCCCAGCTCCCATCTAGAAATATCTTCCAGCATGTAAATAAGACCTCTTTGGAGGTTCCTGCCACCCCATCTCCCCAGCAGAACCTAAGGAATCTGCATACATCAGAGCTGCATGGTCACCCCAATAGTCATAAGAAAGGATAAGGTGTCTAAAGCACTATAATTTGGGGGAGCTGTTAATATAATAGATAATAGAGACAGGAAGTGGCAGGTGCATGAGGTGCAGGCAAAGCCACAGACATGGTAAGCTCATGAAGAGAGCCTTGCAGAATGCCTGTGTCTCATTTCACCTAGAAGACAAAGAGTCTGGCTAGTCTATTTATCTACCTGTCTACTGATCTTAGAATTAGAATCCTGAAGACAGGGTTGTCACAGAGGGTGTCTAATTAACATGTGTGCTTGAATTTTAAGAAGAAATCAGATGTTCTCTGACAGGAAGTGAATACATCTGATTTGGCTGCCTGCTTTCCTGAGACTCCTGTTTTCCAATTCATGTGAATCTACATCTCCAAGATTTTGAAGAAAATATATAAAGCCTATATACAATATTCAACAGGCTAGAAAATATATTATTTGCAACTATTTCAACATAATGCTAAAAAAGTTAAATGTGTGAAACGGCACACAGTTTTCAATATTCTTTGAGGATATACAGAAGACAAAAGCACAAGGCCCACTCAACTGTGGTACACCCACATGATGGGAGAGCATGAAACTCATGGAAAAGAACTTAGCAAGCCAAGACCTTCAGGATGAACCATGGAAAGGCTGGGGCTATAGCTCAGTGATACAAAATTGGCCTTATATGTCCAGTGCCTTGAGTTTACTCTCCTGTATCACCCCCATCCCTTTAAAAAAAAAAACTTAACTTGAAGATACAAAATGCAGAACAGTATACAGGAATACTTTAGCCAAAACTGTTGGGGCCAGAAGTGTTTCTGATCTGAGTTTCTTAGATTTTTTTTTCAGCATTTGTATATAACTTACAAGGTAATCAATCATTCCTAATCCAAAACTTCAAAATGTTCCAAAATCCAAAACTCTGGGGGCATCTTTTTTGGTTTCAGATTTTAGATTGTTCAGCCTAGAGTTAATATTCAATTGCATTTTGATAAGAAATTGGTGATGTATAGTTTTAGATTTCTTATATTCACAAAACAAAACACTTGAAGTATTCACAAGAAACTAATAATACTAATGGTTACCTATGGAAAAGTGCCTTGGTGGACAGGCAAGGGGGGTATATAAAAATACCTATAATGTATTAATTTTTAACATTGTAAATGCATTGTATTTGAATACATTTTAAGTTCTCACAGGAAAAAAAGTATAGTTAAAATTATAAAAACACGAACATGTGCCAAAATAACACCCAAGAGATAAATGTTTGCCACATTTGCAGCAATATATAATTCAAAGGATTGTAATTTTTAATTTACAAGGAACTACTAAGAAACATTAGTAAAAAGTTAACAGCCTGGTACAAAAATAAGTAAAGCTCCAAACAGACAATTCACAGACATGGAAATACAAATGTCTGAGAACAACTATAACTAGGGATATTCAAGTTTAAAAAAAAAAAATAACAGCCGGCCACATTTTATCAATCAGCTTGACAAAAACAAAAACAAAACCAAGACTAGCTGGAGAGTAAATTGATATAAGATTCTGAGACAACAGCTTGGCAGTGCTCATCAATGTCTCTAGCATGCATCGCTTCAGCCCAGCAGTTCTACCTCGGAGACCCCCACCTACTGCAGGATCAGTACTTAACACACATTGCAGCAGATTCAGTCACAGTAAATAAAAAGGAAGTGTAACCTAGATTACTAACAATAAATAATTGGTTAAGATAAACTATGATAGCCTGTATTATATTTAGGAGCCTTTAACAAGACAAGCAGTTTGATGTAGTGTGATATGAAAGGATGTCCACGCTCTATTGTTATGTGGAAGAATACAGCTTTCAAAATAAGTGGCAATAATCTGTATTATTTCACTTTGTGAACACACACACACACACACACAATGAGTATATACTTCAATGTGCATCAAAAAAAGAGTTCTGAAAATACACTAAACTGGTAACAGAAGTTATCCCTAAGGACTAGGGGAATGCACTCAGAGAATTGTGTTTTATATGCTTTTATGTTATAACTTTTTCACATAGCCATTTGTTACTTTGGTAATTTTCACAGCATTTCAGGCTGACAAAAATAGAAACCCAGATCTTTTTTCCCTCAGGGACAGGCAACAGTTTCCTTCTGCACTGCCTACTCATAGGATACAGAATGTGAGATGGTCTCAGACAGTCTACAGGTTGGAACCACCACCAGGCTTATCCACCTAAGTGGCCATTGTATGAAGTTTCATCAGCAGGTCAGACAGGAATGCTCCACATGCCTCACTTGCCACATTAATCCAGATGAACGCTCTGTGAACTTACGGAGTTCCAGCCGGAACCACAGCTCCTTTCAGGCTACTCATTTATCTGCCACTTAGACACCTTAAGGGGCTTTGGTCAGTGACAACAACATTGTCTCTTCTCAAGTCCCAGTCGTAGCCAAGAGGAGGTGACTATCTAGAACAATGATCCTCAACCTTCCTAAGGCTGTGACCCTTTAATACAGTTCCCCATGCTGTGGTGATCCCCCAACCATAAAATTATTTCATTTCTACTGCATAACTATAATTTTGCTACTTTTATGAATCGTACTGTAAACATCTGATATGCAGGAGATCTGATATGTGACCCCAGTGAAAGGGTTGTTCGACCCCGACCCCACCCCCCACTCCACCTGTGCCAAAGGGGCCACGACCCACAGGTTGAGAACCACTGATCTAGAACTTTAGCCTAATTCTGAGTTCATGGAAGGAGCTGCCGGGTCCCTTGGTGGTATCTGCCAAGAACAAGATGCTGAGAGTCATAATGTGAGCTTTCTAGAGGAGTATCCCTGCCTTCTGCTCCAGGCTCTGACTTACCTGCATTCTTACTCACAAGAGTTTGTTCTGGGTGTGGGGAGCTGCAAGGGGTGGCAGGCGGGCAGCATAGACTAAAGGAAGGTGATGGCTGATCATGACTGCGTCCCCCAGAGTGCACCTATCAGCAGCCACTGTGAAGATAGGGAGTCCAAGGGTAGTGAAGCGGCTCTCGGTGGAGACGTGGCTCCACACAGATGCAGATGGATAACTCCAAACATATGGGTACGATGCTGGCCCGAGGTAAGCCCTGAGCCTGAGTTCCATCTGTCATATTTTACTGTTATGTATCTCAAAAACTTGACAACTGTACCCACGTAACAGCATGCCTTTCACAATTTTGAAATCTCCAAGTACCCTGTTAATTGAGAATTCACTCATCTTCCCTATCTTTATAACTAAAAACAGAAATAAAAAAATTCAAAGCCAAAAAACCCCAGACCTTCATGTGTTGTAACTAAAAACACTCAGTAAACAAAGCCAGTCCTTGGGGTCCCTCGGGTAGTAATTGTCTAAGAATGCTTCTTTTCTTTCATCTGGTGAAAGAAAAAGACACAGACATGCTAAGACTGTGTGGAGTGCATCTTGAAAACATTAATTTTTCCGAACACCAATGTGTGGCTCACGTGCTTTCTTAGAGCAGGCAGCAATAGGCAGTGAGCAGAATGCTTAGACACCCTTTATGCCAACCATGCTTCTGGCAGTCACGGGGCTTCCGAGGAAGTGGCCATGGTGAGCCCTGTGTAAAGGATAGCCCTGGGTAAAAATATGAGGCATGGGGGCAAGATATGGCCACCATATGACTTGCCACAGGACCCTGAAGACTTGGGGTTGGACCGTCAGTTCTGAAGTGGGTACAGAATAAGTAGAATCAATACTTCCATTCATCTCTTTTCCTGGCCAATCACTCAGGGCAAAGTTGTCAATCAACTCATCTATTTTTCTCCACCCATTTCTTTCTTTTTTTTTTTTTTTTGCTTAGTCAATAAGTTTATTATCTTTATGAAAAAATCTTCACAGAAAATTGCTTTAGCTCTCAGCAGCCCTTTCCTGTGCTCTGAGGAAGCTTGCCTTCTTTTGAGCAACCCGATCTTTCTTCTGGGCAAGACACATTTTGGGTCAGTTCCGCCTCTTCTTCTTCACTTCTCTCTTGGGCTTCTTCTCATAGACTGGATTCTCTCGGATAGCAGCATGAGCTTTCTTATACATCTCCTCCATCACGTCTGGAGTCACGTTGTTCTTGAGGTACTGAGAGAACTGTTTCTTATAAGCTTCTTCGTCTTCCTCCATCAGGGAGCGCACGTAGTCTGCGACATGCTGACCCATGATGTGCTTACGGTGTACTTCTGCGTTGAACTCCTTGCTTTCAGAATCATAACCAGGGAATCGTTTGGTACTGTGAGGAATAGGCAAGCCTCCATCCACAGCTCCCTTCAGGGCCCCAAAAACTTTATTGCCAGTTGTAGTTCGGGCAAGACCTGCATCCAAATAGCAAGTGAAGGCACCAGGCTGACCATCAATGCTTTCCACATTGTATTCATCTCCAGTCACCTCCACGTGGCCTTCATAGATCTTGTCCATACCAAACCTATGGAGAAGCCTGCGGGCCAGCAGCAGGCCAGTGCAATAGGCCGCAGCATAATTTGTCAGGCCGACTTTCACACCGTACTTGGGCAGCTCGTGTGCATATGCTGCGCACACGATCATGTCCCCTTCAATACGGGCACAGGCAATCTGGCAGATGATATCTCTGTTGGTTACACGAACTATCATCCTGTATTTGGGTGTGTTGTACTTATTTTTGTCTTGGATCACCAATCGTTTCCGAGCATGGTAGTCAGTTTTACCCTCTCGCCACCTTCTAAATCTCACTTGGTATCTCTTAAAGTAGGCCTTATTCTTGACAACTTTCACAAACCCCATCCTGCGGAACAGCAACCCGCGACCATGGCTCCACACAGACCTGCGGCCCGGCGGCGCTAGGGGGGAAAAAAGCCCCCCCCCCCCGAGTGTCGTGTGCATGCGCAGTATGTCTCTCCAACCATTTCTTAAAACTTGTAGCCCCAGCAATCATTCAGAGTGGCTAAGCCTAGGAGAAGTGCCCCATTCCTGAATAGTGGCCCTTAAAACATCTCCATTGCTCCCCTTCCCAACTCAAGAGATAGAAACCATTCTTGTTGGTCCAAGTTTGCTCTTACCTAGGAGTTCTGTTCGCAAAGGACAAGACAAAGCAAGCCATCCACTGAGGCAAGGAAAGGAGGACTCAACCATAAGAATATGCCAGAAGCTGTCAGTGTCAACTACACATCCTCTAAGTTGACCCCTATCATCAAAACCCAGGCACATCTAACTGCATGCCAAGATTCCCACGGGGGAAGCGTCAGCGCTATAGAGAGGGATGGGGAGACAGAGACAGACAGACAGAGTCAGAGACTGACTGACTTATGTTTTACCACTACCAAGACTCTCTGGAACCAACCACCCTTATATGCCAATGCTATCACCCACAGTCATGTGATGTTGGTCAAATCACTTCATTTTTCTATGCCTCTGGTTTTGGTTTTATTTTTTTTTTTTTTTTGCAAAATAAGAAGGATGTTAGTCACACTTAACGAAGATAACAAATATAATATCCCCAACACAGCAGGTGCTATATATGTGTGCGTATTGTTATTACCACTATGGTGATGCCAGCTTTCACTTCCTATGCTAAGCGGTCTCCTCCCTTTGGACCACTGCATAAGTTCTTCGGAGGCTTTGGAAGGTTGTTCCCACTGTGCTTTCATCTAACTCTCCAGGCCCACAGAAAACCTCTGGTCCACTCAGTTGGGCCACACACTGGACTTCCACAGGACCATATTACATTTAACGCTCTCCCTATCGTCTGTCTGTCCAACCAGCTCCTGTTCATTGCCGGCTCTCGGATTCCTGGCTGAGAAAAAATCATTGAATAAACAGGCACCGGGTAAATGAATAAGTGGAGAATGAACGAAGAGCAGCTTTCACTTGCTCAACAAGCATTGACTAGGGAGGCACTCACTCTGAATCACATCCTGAACTATGGCTGAAAAGACAGGAAGGAACAGAACAGCCTGGCTGCTAATCACAAGCTCTCAGCTGCACCAACAGTCTGCCTTCTAGCAGTAACTCAAGATAAAGGGGGCTGCCAGGGCTGGGACAGCTGAGGCTAGGCTGGGACAAGCTGGCCCTGGGTCACTCAGCCTGCCTTGGACCATCCTCGGGGCACCAAGGCTGGGGCTGTGGGGAGAGCCAGGAAGCCTCCAGTGTTGGAACTTAATTTTGGGTATCAACCTTGAGCTGACAGTGTTGCTTCTTATATTCTGTCCTGACCCATACCCCATACAGATGGGGTCCTGCTCCTATGAGATAAAGCACTTCCTGGACTATGTGACTACTTGGAGTGACCAATCCCTGTGCCGGGGCTTCACTGAGGCCCTTACGTGGCGCAAACACAGCCACAGTCTAAAGTCTGTGTCTTGGGTTGTGGCTATGCACTTACCCCAATCCCTTCACAACAGCCAGACCGTGATGAGACTGTACCCAGGACTGGGAGTAAGGAGGCAATTTCTCACCCCACAGATAAATGCAAGACATAAATATGCAATTAAAGAGTTTATTTTAGGGGGGAAAAAAAGATAAAAGGAAGAATGGAATGGCCCTGACCAAAGCAAGAGGTCAAGCAGATACAATCTTTCAGAGAGGAATTCAGGTTTGTCTAGGGTGCGTTTGTTTAACTTGAACTAAGCAATGGAAACCTCGGCGCTGTCTGCCATGCCTGTGTGCGGGGACTAAACGTGGCCTGCAGCTCTGAGGGAAAGAAGAGGTGCCTTTTCCTTATAAGGGTGGTTTACCAAGTATCAGCACGGCTCATCCAAGAGAAACCCAGCCAGTTCATTGCATCCCTGCTGTCTGGAGACTGTCTTTGCCCGACTGTGAACTCCTATGAGACTACGCCTCCTTGATCCCACCCACTACTACTGCCTGTCATCATACCCAGGGCCTCCCACAATGCACTGCTCAGGAAGGACACAGCAGAGTGAAAAAACAAGGACAGTTCACTCCTTTTGTGTCACTTCTTCCATTCTGCAATTCGTACTTTTCTTTTTTTAGGTTTAGTTTTGTTGGTTAGTTGTTTGGTGTGGGTTTCCTTTTATTTATTTTGTTTAAATTAAGTGAAAATAAATAGCAAGAGGTTTTTGTTTTGTTTGGGGTTTTTGTTTGTTTAAATCTTGCTTCTTCTATTTTTCTCTTTTGAAGCAGAACAGACACTACCACTCCACGCCCAGGTAAGACCACCTGTGGAATTCTAGAAAGCTACCCGACCACTGTTCTGCCTGGAACATTTGCTAGCATAAGCTCGCATAAGGAAAAAGAGCAAACAATTTCTACTTCTAGTAAGAAAAAAAAAACTGAAGTAACTTTTCCCTTGGCAATTACATCATAGATGTCTGAAGTTATGTTTTCCATCTTGGTTGTCCTAAAAATAAAGGAACACAGTATCTTTTCCTCAATGAAAGTCCAGGTGTGGCTACTTCCGGAAGGGCAGTGGTACTCCAGGAAGCCCTGGAGCACATTACCCTAGTGGCCTCAAGTCTCATCTCCTATCCCAGGACTCAGGTTCTACCATCATAACAGTTGTGAGAACAATCTGTAGCCTTATCACACATTCCAAGGCTGGACGAAAGCGAGCTGGGAACTGTCCACCATTTCCCTTCCTCTTATGGGTGACGCAGAGTAACCCAGGAAGGCCTGTGACTGGAAGAACATCCCATTGCCTCTTTCAGATGGTGGGAGCATGAGAGGCTGACTATCTGTTAATGCACAAACATACGAATGCAAGCCTGTTGGTTTGTCTGCGAGAATAGATTCAATATACCTCCGTGTGTGCAGTGCCAGCAGTTAGACAGACTAGCCTGTAGAACACTGGAAACCAGAACCTGAGCCTGTCGGTAAGGCAGCCATAGCTCAACTATCAGTTTCCTTTGGAGACAACTAGACAGAGAGTACACAGGTAAGAAGATCAATTGGGGACAGACAGATTATTTCTTCGTGGTATCTTCGAGACTGGATACATTCTTATATGAAAGTACATAAACACACTGCTCATTAACAGTTACCAGGACCTATTTCGAAGGATGCTCACCCTGAGGCAATGTGTGCTGTCCTGATTTCACTCCGTGACAGACCCATGAGAGTGGACAGGAGAATGTTGCAGAACATGTATCTGGGTGTCTGCTAAGCCACTGGCAAATGTACTCCAAGATATTATCCTTGTAGATAAGATGGTAAGAACTGAGTGATGGTCCAACTGAGAGGGCTCACTGCAAATAAACTACACGACCCAAAGGCTCTTACGAAGAGAAACACTTTATGTGGAACAGGGCTCTCTGGTGGTTGCCACAGACACCACAGCACTCCCCCCTCAAATGTTAACTTAACGTCTCTGAAAAAAAAATCATTTCCTCAGATAAAAAGGCCAAAGATTATGCTTATAATATGGACAGATGATACAAAACCAGTAGAGTGGACCTAATAACGAATGACCAAAATAACAACAAAACTCTTAGCAAATTTGAACACTGAAACACAATTAGCAGGGGCAAACTTCATGTCTGAAGACCTCCCTTTTAAAACACACATGCACACAACGTTCCACAAGTCATTCTTGTCTTTGGTGTCCACCCTATGAACACACGGTGCACAAGACTCGGGCTGGTTGACCAACGTTCTCAGCAGCACAAAAGCTTCTAAGAGGTAATGTGAGAACTGCTAAAATAAGTATGGAATATTTACACCAAGAACTATAACCACACGGATTATTTTCAGAGCACGTTGCATGAAGAAAATTTGCAAGAGATACAGAGCATGATACAGCAGCCTTGGGGACACACACACACACACACACACACACACACACACACACACACACCACCCTTATAAACTACTGGTAGGCATACAGCTATATGTAAATGCAGAGTGTTAGCTGCAGAGATTCCCAATCACAGGAGGTCTATCTCCAGACAGAGCCTAAGCTGGCATAAACTGCAAAGAGTTATGACTTTGCTAGTAACATCTGAAATTCAGAATGTAGTTTTGTTGTTGTTGTTAAACCGTTATAATGACATTTTTCCAAGTCTTGACTTTATCCAAAGAGGGAAAGTTCCAAAATACAGAAGAAGGCACAAAGTCTTTGGCTTTCCATTACACAAAGTTCAAAGAAACCGGCACTCTGGAAAGACTGCAAAAGAACCAACTTGTGCAACACAGAATGCTCCAGAAGCTGAACATCTGGGCAGCCTATGAATCCCAGGGGCCACTCCACTGAGGACACCTGGAGAGCTGAGTTGGAGCCAATCCTGGCGACACAATTAGTCAGGGGCACCGGCAAGGTACCTGCAGGAAACAAATGGCTGGGAGGAATTCTTAAAAGCATGATGTAGTAACGAGCGACAGAACTGCGACTGTTTAACATCAAGACAAGATGACAGGCTCGACCGGGCCCCTTAAATATTTGAAGGGTTATTATGTAGATAAGGCACAGTAAACTTTCTTAAGGCAGTTAACTTATCATGGGAATTTCCAGGAGTAGAAGCTAGAACAAATAAATACAAATGATCTTTTCTTTAGAAAAGGAAGAAGGAAGGAAGGAAGGAAGGAAGGAAGGAAGGAAGGAAGGAAGGAAGGAAGGAAGGAAGACTTTTAAAGAATGAATAGTAACAGAATAGTGGAAAATCATGAGTTCACTATTATTATAAGTATTCAAGTAAGAAAGGGTTTTTAAAAAAAAATGTTGATTTCATTCCAAAAAAAGAACCATAGGATTTTAAAGATCTCTAACGTTTCTACTATTCTATGATTCCATAATTCAAGGGCAGAATCAGTTTTCAAATCCCATCAATTCCAAATCTCACTAGCGATATGCTCTGCCACCAGGTGGCAGTAGACGC